TGAAAGGTGAAAAATTAAAGGCCTTTGCTTTGAGTTTGGAATCAAGGATTATTGGATACACAGCCACTATATAAAAATTGATTGTATTTCTATATATCAACAGTTAGAAAATAACATTTCAAAAAAGATATAACGTACTCATTTTCACCAAAAGACAAGAATGTTCATAGCTACAGTATCCAAAATTGCCCGAAACTAAAAGAAAAAAACCCAAATGTCCTTAAACATTATACAGAGTAAGTATCCCTTATCCAAAGTGTTTAGGACCAGAAGTTTTCCATTGAGGATTTTTTCAGATTTTAGAATATTTGTATTATGTAATTACTGGTTGAGCATCCCTAATCCAAAAATCTGAGATGCTACAATGAGCATTTCCTTTGAGCATCACAGTGGTGCTCAAGAAGTTTCAGATTTTAGATCAGGGATACTCAATTTGTAGTATGCACAATATTATACAAAAAAGAAACTAAACTAACTTTACCTATAGGCAACATAGGTATCTGATAAATATAACGTTGAAAGAAAGCAACCAAATATGATTCCATTTATACAGAATCAAAAAAAAATCAGATATTGTCTATATAGACAATGTCTAAGTGCTAAAAACTATCGAAAAATGCAAAGAAGTGAGTACCAAAAAAATATCAAACTACCTTTCAGGAAAGGAGTAGAGATTGGGAAGGGGTATCGTGAATGCTTCTAGGATCCTAGCTAATTCTATTTTTGAATCTGGGGGTAATTGCATGGATGTTCACTATAATAATTCACTGAGCTATGTATTTATGTTTTGTGTATTTTTTGCATGTGCTATATTTCACAATTAAAAAGGATAAACAAAATAAATGAGTAAAAAAATACCCTAATGAAGAGACTTAAATGTAAGCTTTAGTTTACTTTTCTTGAAAATAAGAGTATAATAAAAATAATAAATTTTAATCAAAATCATTAAAATATATAACTATAATGATGAGGTATATAAATGCTGTATTATAATCTACATTAAATATAGTAATATATAATATACTTGTGACTAGCACAAAGTAAAAGCAATCAATAAATAAATAGTAAATAGCTGTTAGTTAGGGGGTTGTTATTTTTAACATATTTTTCTATTTGTTATTTTTACTTACCTCAAGGAGACCTGACAAGTATTTCACACAAATTTCAAGTGGCTTCGTGAGAACAGAATGTGAGCTCCATCCCGGAAATGCAGTGAGGTGAGCCATCCCTCGTAACGTCCGCTCAAGGGAAGGCAGGCCATAGAAATGAGGAGCATTGGTGACTCTCAGACACTGGAGCAGCTTCAGAGCTAGCTGCGTTTGGAAAACGTAAAGAAGTTCCAAGCATTTCCTGTGTATGTGAAGGGAGAAAATCAACCATCAAGCAAGTGTAATGGGATTAATGGGCTGTCTTATCGGCTACACAACTTACTATTAGAAAAGTCTAAACTAGATAAAATGGCAGAATGTATTTCCTCTCAAAGCAAGGTTTTTCCAAAAAAAGCACAGCTAAGATACCAACTAGGGTATATGATATAAAATATAAGTAACAATTACATATACAATGAATATTGATATTGTCACCCAATAATAAAATTAAAAGTTGGAATAAAAAATTAAATGCATACTTTGAATTTAATTGGCATATATTACACCTATACTTTAAATGAGTGCTATGAAAAATTTAATTTTTAATTGGCTAAAATATATTGTTTTTTTTCTAGAAAAAAGAAAAAGAAAAGGTTTTAATGAGTTTGACATATAATTTCAACAAAAGTGTCTGAAATAGATCAAAGAGAACATTTTCTATCAGAAAACAAAATTCCTGAAATTAAGTAGCTATGAATTCAAATATGAAATTAATATCTATGGACTTGTATTCTAAGTTCACTAATCCTCTCCTCTGTGTCTAGT